GACCTGCTAGACTTTGGGGTAACTAGGGGAAAAAAAAAAAACAAGAACAAAAGAATATCTCCGTTTGTCTCTCAATTGTCAGCTAGTCTGCATCAGCTAACTGGACTCTGAGACCTGACTCATTTGTGAGAAATCTTCCCTTTGGTTAATTTGGGCACTTTATTCCCCATGTTCTGTGTGTGTTGGGGGGTATAGCATCTACCGTGGTGGATTGCCTCTTGGTGGCATTTAGGCTGTCCGTATCTTCTAGCAAAATCTAGATGTTTGTATCAGTGGCATCTCCAAGTACCAGGTCTTACTTAAGACTCTTCTACTGGCACCACCCTAGTATTAAACACTTGTGGTGTGTCTAAGTTCTTCATCATTCCCCACGTTCTAAGCAAGTTTGTTCACCAAGATGCTTTCTGTCCAGTCTGTTCTGTTCTGATTCTCATTCCTTGGACTTGACCTTCTGGAAGGAACCACTGAGTTCCTCTCTGACCAAATGATAGATTATAGATTATGAATACATTTATCGTTCCATGTTTTCCCAGTCTCCAGGCTTTGAGCTGGCAAAATAGGAAGCTGGAAGTCTACATACCAGCCCTTCTTCAGCCCTGCACAACATCCGAGTGCTCGTTTTGTTTGATCTTGTTACAAAGACTTGATTGCATATTTACAGGATATTATAGTTTATTCTTAAAAATATTCAAAGGTTTTGGATCATAGACTTAATGAGGTTATATATATTTTATCAAACTTCTTAGTTTAGAATCAGGTATTTCACTTCTGGCATTGTAGTAAATTTACTGAATTACCAGGAAGGCAGGAAAGTGTCTTGACACCTAAAATGGGCAGATTAAGACAAAGAGAATACTGTCCCCAGGGACCAGAAAGGAGGCCTTTTCTGGTTGGTGAAATGTGTGTTTTTTATGTCCTCCCAGGTATCAAGTTACATCAAAGAGCAGACTCAAGAACAGTTTCAGATGATAATCATTTCCCTAAAAGAGGAGTTCTATTCCAAGGCTGACGCCCTGATAGGCATCTATCCAGAGGTAAAGGCGGGCAAGGGGGCCTACGAATCCAAATTTGCAGAATAGTATGATCATTTTATTTGTATGATAATAGTACACATTAAGTACACAAAGCAAACAATATTGTAGTCACATTTCTGTGATGTTTGAGTGTTTTAGGCAAAAACAAATGCATTATGGTAGAACAAACGAGGACCCGTTTATCTTCCAAAAGTACCAAGGGAGAAAACAAAGCAACTGACCAAGTTCCAAGCTGCACAGTAACTTTTAGAATTTGAACACATCTTTCTTAAGCAGCTCAGAGTACTTAACCTGCACTAATGAAGCAGTTGACTAATTCTGATCATTCTGATTTGGGATGATTAGGATTTACTTCCCAAGGTTTCCTTTAAGCTCAGCTAAAAGTTAAGTTTTTTTCCTGTGCATACAAAATGTTAACGGACCACTGGAAAAATGCTGCAGAAGTGAGATGAAAACTCTCATTCCAGTGTAGGGAGGGAAAAAAATCTTTCTCCTCTACCTATCGTAGGACCTCCGGCCAGGCCTGTAGGTCAGCCCAGCAAAGACAGATCAGTGAGAGAAAAGCAGACTTTATGAGCATGCGCATCACACATGTGCGCGTGGCGCTCCCCGCCATGGGAAACCGAGAGGGGTGGCTAGAACTCAGCTTCTCTGCCATCTTAGGCTAAAATGAGGAAAAAGAGTTGGGGGCATCAAGGCCGAGGAGGCAAATGATGGGAAAGTGACCGGGAAAATATGGTAAACGAGGGGTGTTTCCATTTGCAGATTCAAGTAAGTGCCTTCTCCACTGATAGCAGTTGCTAAGTGTAGAGAGGGTGTCATCTTTTACATAAATGTAAATTTCTTTCACAAAAGGAAAACTTGTGCCCCTTTTTAGGACTTTTCCTGCATCTGCTGGTTTTCAGTAGCTCAAACCATCCACATAGCACAGAGCCACATTTTGGGGTGCATATTCTAGGGCCCTTTGCCAGGTAATGCAAAAGCCAGAGGGAGCAAACTGAGGTCAGTGCAGACAACTGACACCTTCTTAGGTGACATAGGGAGCTCCCTTTTAAATGCAAATCCAGATTCACTAATGGCCCTTATTTTACATGTCATAACCTCCCCCCCCACCCCGCCCTGTCTGCTTTCCATTTCAGCAAGATGACTGCATGTTCAGCCGAGTTTTGACTCTAGATCTTTCTCAGTACCCAGACACTGAGGGCCAAGAGAGCAGCGAGAGACCACGAGAGTCCCATTAGGACTGAGTGCTCCGAGTGCCTGCCAGCTCGAAGAGCAAATAAGACAGGTCACACAGTGGTCAGGGTCATCGTTTAGTTCTCATACAATGTTCAAGCAGCTCGAATAACAAACATCTGAAGCAAGCAAGACAGCCCGTGCGCCATTTAAGGAAAAGCTGAACTGTTAACCAGCCCAAGATGCCGTGGCTCATGGCCACGGAGGAGTGGTCCAGCCTCATGCCATAGGTAAAGCTTCCTCTGAGTTAGCTTTGAGTTTCAAAAAACCCAAAGGTGTAATTTTGTACCACAATTTTAACTTCCATTTTGAAAGCCAGTCAGACAAAAATATTTGAATTCTACATCGTCGTCACTGTGGTCTTGCCTTGCCCATTTAAGTACCTTTAAGGGTACATATTCTTGGTTTCTAAACATACTGGTTACAGGGTGTTGAGCCTGGGTTTTATAAGAAACTGTTTCATGGGAACTGATATCAACGTGAAAATATCAGTGAAAAATAAAAGTTCTAATTTCAAATGTCTCCAATCTACAATTTTATAAACAAACAAAAAAATTAAGGTGAAACTGAATTATGTCTGCTTTGATGCAATGTAAATTTTTCTAAATCTACTTTCTGTTAAGCACATACTGAAGAACACAGATTTTTCCAAGCACCTAATTTCTCCATTAACCCATTTGCAACAGTACATTTGTTTCAGAAGGGAATGAAGACTGAGGTGCTGGCGGTCTTCTGTTCAGACTGCTTTGGGCCCAAGTGCTAACCAAGGAGTAGCCTCCTGAAGTGACAGAACCACTTTTGAACAACACTCATTGTTTCATATAAAACAAATGCACTCTGTGCCCAAGAAATAAAGTCACAAGAGCCTTGCTTCCTGCCCTCACCAGCTCATCTCTGTGGACTAGATGACAGAAGCCACCGTATTTGTCCTTTGTTCCTTTTTTTAGTACTGACAACACCATCTAAATCACCAACCTCCTATGCCTTGAAAGACATCAACTTAACATTGAACTGTCCCTTTAGTGCCACCTGAGCTCAGTGTCAACCCTAATCTCTACCTGGGCTGTTGTAACTTGGACTCAGATTGTCAGAGACCCTTCAAAGCACAATGGGTTCTATTATAAGGGAACAGACCCACGTTTCTGAACCCACATGCTGTGCAGAAGACACAGTGGAAACCATGCTGGGAACTGTGAGGCTGGGGCACTGCGCTCCAAACACAGGGGAACCTAATCAAAATGATAGCTGGCTTACACGCCTTAAGGTTAAGAAATACACAGATACTATAGTAAATACGGCACTGGATCTCAAAAATGCCTTGAAATCGACTTGCGAAGTGGGCATCCTGGGGCAAAGTGGTGGAAGGGGGGCTGTCTGAGGGCTTAGCAGGGTTCGCGTTTGGTGTGTTTGGCGTATTTGCCATATTTCCCTGCAGCCCTGTTCGGCAGGGTGCAGGTCAGCTTTCATGGAGCGCAGAGATCAGTGAACAGGCTTCTGTGAGGCAGCAGGGAAGCTGCTATGCAGGTACCTGTACAACTACGTAAAATACGACCATTTAAAAATGTTAAAAGACTTGTTTGAGGCACAAACAAACAGGGCCAGGCTTTATGCCTGACCTAGTATTTCTCAGACAAAGCCACACACACAAAGGCGGCAAACTCAAATTGTTTCTAATTGGAGTGAATTTGCATTTTGAAGCCAGCAGGCCAGCAGAACTGACTGCAGACAGATTCATTCTTTACAGTAAGAAGCCTGGTCCTTGCACGGGGCTCAGCTCTTGAACCGGCTCTGCTTTGCTTTAAAGTTTCACATCCGGTTCCACATTGCCTTCCACTCTTGCAAAGCTGCTGTGCTCCATGCCAACTTACAGATTCGGATAGCCATCCCTGATCACACTTTAATGTTTGCTTTCCAAAACACACTACTTGATTTCACGACTAACTAGCAACTCAAGGTAAAAATCTCCATTAAGTAAATAACACCAAGCAAGCCTTGTCACAACTAAAGAAAAGTTGAACACAGAGCTGAAGTTAAAATTTTATTGATGACCAGAGTAACATAAAAGATTTGCTTTCCATGCTTCAAAAAGAAGAAAAACGTCTTCAGAGG